AGCAAGAACCAGACTATCCGGACAGAACAATTTCAACTAATGAAATCAAAGCAGCAGTCAAAAACTTTCCAACAAACAAAAGTCCCAGAAAGGATGGCTCTACAAGAGATTTTTACCAAACATTCAAAGAAGAACTAACAGCTAGTCTTCTCAAACTATTTCAAAAAATTCAAGAGGAGAGAAGACTCCCAAGCTCACTTTACAAAGTCCGCATTATCCTAATTCCAAAACAACATAAACATACTACAAAAAAAATTATAAGCCAATATCCATGATGAACATAGACGCTAAAATCTTCAACAAAATATTAGCAAACCAGGTCCAGCAATACACTTAAAAGATCATACAATATGATCAAGTAGGATTTATTCCAGGGATGCAAGGTTGGTACAATATTCACAACTCAATAAATGTGATGTGTCACATAAACAAAATAAGTGATAAAAATCACATGATTATATCTATAGACGCAAAAGAAAAGCATTTGGTAAAATCCAGGAATATACAAGATTGTCTGCTTTCATCACTCTTATTCAACATAGTACTAGAAGTTCTAGCCACAGCAATCAAAGAGAAAAAACAAAAGGCATCCAAATTGAAAAGAGGGAAATAAAATTGTCATTGTTCCCAGAAGACATGATACTGTATATAGGAAACCTTAAAGACTCCACCAAAAAACAATACTAGAACTGATCATTTATTTACCAAAGTAGCAGGATGGAAAAATAATATTCAGAAATTGGTGGCATTTCTATACACCAATAATGAACTATTAGAAAAAGAAATTAGCATCCTTAAAAAGTCCATACTACTGAAAGCAATCTATAGATTCAATGTAAATTCTATTTTATTAAAATACCAATGGCATATCTCACAGATCTATAACAAGTATTTCAAAAATTTATATGGAACCATAAAAGACCCAGAATGGCTTCAGCTATCTTGAGAAAGAAGAACTAAGTTGGAGGTATCACGCTACCCAATATAAACAGACATACAGCTCAATGGAACAGAATAGAGAACCCAGAAATAAATCAATGCCTTTATGGTCAATTAATATTTGACAAAGGAAGCAAAAGCATACAATGAGGTAAAGACAGTCTATTCAATAAATGCTATTGGGAAAAATTGGACAGATACATGAAAAAAAGAAAGAAAGAAAGAAAGAAATTAGACCACCAACTTACACCATACACAAGAATAAACTCAAAAAGGGAAACAAAGGAAAAATAAACAAATGAGACTATAGCAAACAAAAAAGCTTTTGCACAACAACAGAAACCATCAATAAAATAAAAAAGCAACACATTGATTGGGAGAACATATTTGCCAGTGATATATCTGATAAATGGTTAATGTCCAAAATACATAAAGAACTTATATATCTCAATACCAAAGAAATAAACAATCCAATTTAAAAAATGAACACAAGATCTGAATAGACACTTTTCCAAAAAGAACATACAAATGGCCAATAGACATATGAAAAGATGCTCAATATCACTCATCATCATAGAGATACAAATTAAAACCACAATGAGATATCACCTTACACCTGTCAGAATGGCTATCACAAATAAATCAACAAACAAGTGCTGTTGAAGATATGGAGAAAAGGGAACCCTTATACACTGTTGGATGCAGATTGGTGCAGCCACTGTGGAAAACAGTAGGGAGTTACTTCAAAAAATTAAAAATGGAACTGCTTTTTGATCCAACTAGTTCACATCTGGGGACATATTTGAAGGAACCTGAAATACTAATTCAAAAGAACATATGCACCCCTATATTCATTGCAGTATTAATTACAATAGCCAGGATTTGGAAGCAGTCCAAGTGCCCGTCAGTAGATGACTGGATTTTTAAAAAAACTGGCACATTTATACAATGGAATACTATGCAGCCATAAAAAGAAGGAAATCTTACATTTTGGGATAGCATGGATGGACCTGGAGATTATTATGCAAAGTGAAATAAGCCAGTCAGAGAAAGACAAGTACCATATGATTTCATTTATATGTGGAATCTAATGAACAAAATAAACTAACAAACAAAATAGGAAGAGACTCAGAGATACAGAGAACAGACTGAGAGTTGAGTAAGATGATAGATGAGATAGATAGGTAGGTAGGTAGGTAGGTAGACAGACAGACAGACAGACAGACAGACAGACAGACAGACAGACAGACAGATAGATAGATAGATAGATAGATAGATAGATAGATAACATAAGCAAAGACCACTGTATGGTGATAACCAGAGGGAAAATGAAGTGAGGGAGCTGGAAGAGGACAAAGAGGGTATAAATAGAGATGGAAAGATACTTTACTTTGGGTGATGGGTGCATGATGCAGTCTGTAGACAATGTTTTATTGCACTGACACTTGAAACCTGTATGGATCTGTTAACATTGCCCCAATAAATTCAATAAAAATAATTTGCTTTAAAAACAGAAAAAAAAATTATGTCATCCGCTTCTTTACATCATGTAATCCTTTCCTGGCTCTGCTTCCACCTCAATAACTCCTCTAGACAGGCTCAAGTAGTCCCTCATCTTTAGTCCCATGGCCTCTTGTGTCTAATCATATCATACTTCTTACCACACAGCCCTGCAATCATTTGTGTGGGGGCACCCTCACCTTAGACTGCATGCACCTTGAGAAGAAAGATAGAGTCTCTTGTTTGTCTTGCTATTCCCGTCACCAAGTTCAATGCCTGACATGGTAGGGGAACTCGATCATGGAATATATTGTTGTTGAACTTTTCTTCTTCATCCGTATGTACAGGATGTTCAGACAAAACAAAGAAAAGGAAAATTAACTATTTTCTTCTCCTTTTGCTGATGAAGTTTTCCCTTACCCATAGTGCCCTAAGAACAATGACCATAGTACTGATTAAGAAATAGCATCCCCTCATTTCTGGGGGGGAGATAGGAGGTAGGCAATGAGTTAAGTAAACATCCCATGATACTTATTCTATTTATTCCACTGCCCTGAAATCCAAATAGTGACTATTAAGGGCTCTGCATTCAGATTTCCTGGTTCACAACCCAGCTCGTCCACTTCCTAACTGTACGGTCTTCACTTTCCTATCCTTCAATATTCTCATTAGTAAAATAGTATCTTTCTTGTAGCATTATTTGAAGAATTAATGTACTTGTAGAAAAAGCTCAGAACAGTACCTAGCATGTAGAAAAATAAAAAAATATTAGCTGAAGCAACCACTCTTTCTTTTGTGCCTGAGTCTCTGCGTGCTCTACATAGCCCCCTTTCCAAATACTTTAGCACAGCCCCTTCCTCATCCTCTTATACTTTATTGTATACCTTTACTGACCCACTGTCCCTCACTAAAGTATGAACTTTGAATGATTCTGCTTTTCTCTCCCATTTGCATTCTTACTGCCCAGCATAGTTCCTGTCACCTAAGAATAATCAGATGTCAAATGAATGATGAATGTGCAATGGTAGAATCTCCATTTCATAAGCCCATGTGTCAATTACCAAACCAAAGAGATCAGCACTGATTTAGCGAGTACCTACAATGCAGTCATTTGGGCTAGTAATCCCAATAACACTTATCATTTACTGAATGATAACTGTGTCTGGTCCTACGGTAAGGTTCAACCCCTTGTAACTGCTATTTTTGCAGGTCAAATAGTGGCAATTTTGAGTGACTCAATCTAATACTGTATTTTAACTTTATCAAGGTAAAATAAGGAGCATTAATTATCTTAGTTAAAGATGAAAGAAACAGACTTGTGGAGATTAGTGGCTTGCCAAGGTCATGGCTAGTAGGTGGTAAAGACAAGGCTGGGCCCATCCTGTGAGCCCCTCTTGACCACTATGCAGTGAGGTGGCTGTCCTCAGGCACTCAGTTTAGTTCTGAAGACAGAGCTATGGCTCAAGAAACTCCCAGGGTAAATGTAAAACTGAACAGATTGGACCCACTTTCCTGAGACTGCACAGGGATCCAGTGTGTCCTGTTCAGGGAAGAAGCACACAGGTCTGGGAAAAATCTAACAACGCAACTTTCCTTTAGAACATTCTGGATTGTCATTTTCTTATGCACTTGCTGGCCTTGGCCTTAGGTCTTAATTTTATTATCTTCAAACAGCAAGTAAGAGATGTTTCTCATTAAACACGAACAGGGGAATGTTTAATTTGTGAGCACGCAGATGTCTGGAAAGTAAATCATTGATTCAGGATGTTGGAATGAGCATTGTCATTGCAGCTGTCCGTGGTGGGCACTGCACGGCCAGGACTCCACAGGGCACACATGCGCTCACTGGACGGGGCCTGTGGCTCTTAGCTCCAGGCTTTCTTCATGTTTTAAAGATAGACCAATTCAATTTCTCTCCCTCTCCCCTTAAAACAAGAGAAACTGACTTATTGTCATTTCAAAATTACAGCATCTAAGGGATTACGATTTGCCTGTCTTTTCCCATGTGATTCTTAGACGATGTTTATTTGGGATAAACATATTTGTACAGCATCTAAGAATATTGATAAATGCTTAACTTTCAATAAGGAGAATTAAGAGCATTAAAGCTGATGTCACAGCAATTTGCGGTGTAGTCTTTTCTTGGATTTGGGGGTAACTTTGGACTCAGTGTTTGAAAGCGTGATTCATTACTTGCTAGTTCTGGATTCTTGGGCAAATTTCTTAACATCTCTGCGTATGAGTATCCTTGCCTGAAAAATAGCTCTAACAGCAACTTTACTGCATTGATGTGAAGGTTCCATTATTTAACATCAGCAAAGCCTGGAGCCCAGTGTCTGACAGGTCATTGCTGGCTCTCTTTCCCTCTTGTCCAATGCTCCCTGTCACCAGTTTACAAGAGAACGGTAAGAATGAGAATGTTGATGAGGTAATAGCAGAAGGAATATATTCGGGCAGGAAAGGAAGATGGGAGGTGGGCAGCCTGCTGAGGCAGAGACGTCACCTCTTGGTGCCAATAGAGGGTTGCAGTCTCTTGACGGTGTTCTCCCCCTACCTTTCAGCCCCTTAAAATGCACTGCAGGGACTGTGCCCTGGTGACAAGCTCCGGACATCTCTTGCGCAGCCAGCAAGGGCTCCAGATAGACCAGACGGAATGTGTCATCCGCATGAATGACGCCCCTACTCGGGGCTACGGGCGCGACGTGGGCAATCGCACCAGCCTGCGGGTCATCGCACACTCCAGCATCCAGAGGATTCTCCGCAACCGCCACGACCTGCTCAACGTGAGCCAGGGCACAGTGTTCATCTTCTGGGGCCCCAGCAGCTACATGCGGCGCGACGGCAAGGGCCAAGTGTACAACAACCTGCACCTCCTGAGCCAGGTGCTGCCCCGGCTGAAGGCCTTCATGATCACGCGCCACAAGATGCTGCAGTTCGATGAGCTCTTCAAGCGCGAGACCGGCAAAGACAGGTACAGAGGCGTGAGGTAGGGGGTCCCGCAGGGGCACGGGGCGGGGGTGGGGGGAGGAAATGTTGCTGCTGGCGGACTTCACCAAAAGCAAAGTTGTTGCTAAAGGTTTCTGTGGTTGGTCCCACTTCTCATGCCTTTGACAGAGCTCATCTGTCGGTTCCTCTTAAAAACTGGGTTGGTTATTTTTAAGGCAAAGTAAAATGAAGAAATGAGGTAATTATATTGGATAATCCAGGGCCAAATCCTTATTTTGGAGGAAGAGGTCAGACTGCTGCTGGCCTACACTGGTGACAAGCGCAACATAATAGCTTTACTGCATTTCATTTGACTTGTGTAAACACTAACCAAAAAGAAGTATATGGATGTATTTTTCCTTTTCAAAGGCAAATATTTATTCAGTCGACCAATGTTTATTAAGTATCTATTACTTCACTGCACCAGGCACCAGGGATGCAGTCCAGACAAAGACAGATGTAGAACCTTGCCTTCCTGGAGCACAGCCTACAGGGCAAGCAAACAGGCGCCAAGCAGTGGCCCGTGTGCTGAGCACGAGCGAGGGGAAGACGGTGGTGCTGTGACATGCAGGACAGGGGGCCTGCCATCGTCCAGGGGAGGCTGTTAGTTACAGCTCAATCGTGGGACAGGAAGTCAGCCTGCTGTGTCACTGCGAGATATTTTTTAATATAATGGAAAGAAGGGGAATAGAATGACATAAACAAGCACTATCAGCATTCATCACCCAGAGTGAGTAAGGCAAAGTGATGCTTCGTTAAATTATATTTGTTTTTTGTTTTATACATATAAGTATATATGTAGAAGTTTCTTACTGAGGTGATAGAAAAGTTCTAGGATTAGATAGTTGTGATAATTGCACAACCTTGTGAATATACTAAAAAACACTGAATACACACTTTAAATGGGCCCTGACTGGTATTGCTCGGTGGGTTGGATGTCATCCCGTGAACTAAAAGGTCACTGATTCAATTCCTGGTCAGGACACATTCTTGGGTTGCGGCCAGGTCCCTCCCTGGTTGGGGGTGTGTGAGAGGCAACCAATCGATGTTTCTCTTGCACATTAATGTTTCTCTCCTTCTCTTTCTCCCTCCTTTCCCATCTCTCTAAAATAAATAAATAAAATCTTTAAATAAATAAAATGTACGTATATATGCTCAGTCATAACATGTATTTCTTACTATTGGTCTAGGTAGGAGATGAGGCAATGAGGGAAAGGTTTTTTCAAAAAGGTGTGTTTGAGCTGAGACCTAGGTCAATAAGTCTTTATCCAGGAAAAGAAGAACCTGAGAAAGGGAGAGAGAACCCTCCTTATGGGTATAGGGATCAGAGGTGGGAGAACATGCAGTGGGTTAGAGAAAAGTCCCCCAAGGCTGCAGGGGGAGAGGGACTGGAAGTGGGGTGGGGACAAGTGGCCTGAGATGAGGCAGCTATGGCTCATGAGCTGGCCACATCTAGATTGAAAAAAAAAATAGGACAGCTAGGTATCAAAAGGAGCAGTCCAGTGAATTCCAAATACACAGCTACATTCTATCCCTATCCCTCACCCAATTTTTCAGTGACCTCACATGTGAAAAGGGCATAGAGACTAGGCCTCATAGGACTGGTCTAATAATTAAATTCCCTTGTTTTCTTAATTCCAAATATGTACTTTTATAATTACTATATATTTAATGATGTAATTTACCCTCTCCCTAAAAACTATTTTATATCTTAAAACAAAAGAGATACAATAAATAAAATAAAGAATATAAAGTACTAAATCCATTGTTTGGCTAGTTTAGGCAGTTCATTATTGGAGAACAGAGTCTTAAAAAAAGACCAAAAGCTCATGTTTCTGAATTCTTTGCTTAGAAGAACTGTCTTTTTTAATCTTGGAAACTTCATGACTGTTGAGAGCTGGTTCCAGCAGCAGTGGTCATGGCATCGGGTAGAAAGAGAAGGAAGGCCCCTGGCTGCTGGCCTCCTTCCCCGGTCAGCTCACATAGGGACCCCTGGTCATCACTACGTGATATGAGAAATCCAGTCATTTATTGCCCTTTAAAAAACCACAAGAGAGACTATCACTCATTTGAATGAGTTATTTAACCAAGAGAGCATTCTAGAAGGAAAGAATAATGAGGGGAGTTATTTCTAGTTTCATTTTTGACTGGTTGGAAAACTGTAAGTAGAAAGTCTTAAATGGAAAACACTTCTCTCTTTTTTGGTTTAATGGTTGTTTTCTCAGTTTAAGTATTCCTGAAACACTGCTGCATTGTTTGCCATTTAGGATAATTATCCATTGCTCTGAATCTTCTTAACAAATTATTTTAAGTTGGAAATTTGGAGACTAGTCATTCCATCCTTTGTTCACTTAGATCTTTAGAAAACAGCCTCATATCAGGACATATCTCACTCACTAGACTTATTAAAATCTAACCAGCGGAAACCTTGTGCTCTATAGGTCTGTCTCCCTGGTAGGCCAAGTGGGAAGGAGGAAAACCAAGTCTTTGTGGAGTGGCTAGTTGGCCCCTCATGCACAGACATTCATCCATGATGGTGCACATAGTCCCTGCTCAGGGGACTCACATCTATGGATTTGTAAGGTGCCAAAGTTCATGCTGCCTTCTACAATCATTGTGCTTCTTAGCTTTAGGAAACTATCTTAAAGAAGATAAAATTGTAGTGATTTAATATTCTCATGTCTATATTCTTAATTTGCAAACTACTCCAAGCTAAAAGAATCAAGTCTGAAACAGTCTTTTAGAATAAAACTACATCTGTAAATTAAAATATAAGACATTTAGGGTCCTACAGTATTTCCTCTATGTATGCTCTTCTTGAAACCCAGCAAAACTATGGTGTATATTAAAGATACACAAAGTGTGATACCTAATTTTGTATATCTCATGATCAGGACATTCATTTCATGCTAATATTTTGAGAAATTGAATAATTCAACAGATTTTTGATTTACAGAGGTTTCACCCTACTTAAAAGTGGAGGAAAAAATGACTGAGGAACAATCTGCAATTAAGAAGCATGACAAATGGCATAGATGGCCAAGTGGTGTTCTTTAACATTAGAAAGTAACTGTACTTGAAAATAACTTTATAATTGAATAAGGGTACATTAGGAAAATATGATTCAGAACCAATATTACAGTAATTAGATAAAGGAAGCATAAATGAAATAACTGCAGGAAGAATATTTCCATTGAGATTATAAATGAGATTCTGGTGGAGCAGAAAGGCCTCTAATTGTAATTTAGTGTGCACTATAGAATTATCAGCTCAGTGTGTTACTCCATCATATAAAAGAATATCTGATAATTTTCCCTAATAAGCACATGACAGCTCTTCATATTCCTTCATTACAGCTGATTAAGTATAAAAACAGTAGCTATCCCTTTGTTGGAAAAAGAGTTCAAATCTTTTTAAGAAAGACAGTACAAAGCAGTTGCTTTTCTACAGCATGTGATCCCAAGAGGCTATTATTTAGAAAGTCTGAGGAATTTTAAGTGACACTTTAAAGAACTCTTCACTTCACTTTCTTTAGTCCTCCACTTTGTATTCTTCCCATTTTTACCCATGAAACCTTTTTCTGTAGAGCCATATCCTCCTGTGTGTCGGGCGTATCACACATAAGACAGCCAAAGTTACAGGGGAATTTCTGCCCCTGGGAAAAGCCCTCTTGGTGTCCCCAACAACTCTAAAGCCATGGGGACACAGGTGTGATTCCCAGATCTGGGCTCTACACCCTCCCAGTTATTCACTCGCCCTCTGTGAGTCTAGACAACTGGCCACCACATTGTCACAGCCATGTAGGTGAAGAAAAGCTCTCATTTGAGGCACTGCTCTTCCTTGCCTTCCCCCTTCACATTCAGTCATTTCTGCTCCATCCACCTCCTTCATTCTCAAAGGTCTTATGAATATATATATCCTTAGTGAGAAGAATTGGGGATTATTAATGCCTGCATAGGCAGGAGGTTCCAGAATTTTGTGATTACTTCCCTGACTACTGTTGGCTCCTACACAAGACGGAGTAGCCGTTTCTTTGTAGGTGCCAGAAAGCACTAAAAGGAATGACTGAATTATTAAGTTCATTTGCTGCAACCTAGAAGCTAAAACAGGAAAAGGGGGTCTCGATGTATCAACATGCCAGACTAGATATTTTTTATGGTTCTCTCATTGAGTCCTCAAAGAGCCCAGGAAGGTGGAGTTTACCATGCCTGCTTTACAGGTAGGCAATTAGGGCCCAAAGACCGGCAATATAATCTGCCACAGGTCATTAAGCGGGTTAGTGATAGAAACTGGTAAGACACAAATTCTTGATATTCTCATCTTTAGGAGTTTTTAAATTATTTCCTGGGCTATTAGTGGGTCAGGATACAATGGAATGGAAAACGAAAATGAGTCAAGGGATTAAGCGCTAGAAATTTGAAGCTGTGAGCTCAGGAATGACTAAATCAATCATTCCTGTCATGTATTTGACAAAACAAAGAACTTCTTAAAAATGCTCCCCCTTTTTTTGTTCCTTATGTGAAATGGAAATAACACAAACTGCTTAACAAAAAGTCTTCCTTCTCTAAGAGGAGTGCCATACAGAGCAAGGAGAAAGGCCTTTCTGCAATGCTGGTATTCACATCACGTGTGGTGTTATGGCTGGGCAAAGTCAGACAGTCTGACCTTGGGGATAGGTGTTTCAAGCTGGCTAATGAGGCGTGCCATAAGCACTGAAAAAAAGTAAAAGTATAACCCCAAAGAATTGAAGTAATATCCACAGTAGCATAGTATGGTAGACCAAGTTTCTCACCGGATCAAATTAGACCTTGATGTGTCTCCACAGTTACCCTTAAGCTTGGCATGTGGTTGGAGCTCAATACTGATGTTTGGGTGGACATATGAATAAATGTTGGGACTCACAGATTTGCTCCTTAAATTCTGTCAACTTTTGATCTTCTAATAAAAATTTTCAGAGGGCTCTAAATGTTCTAAGGTAAAATAAAGCACACGCTCATTTAAACATAAGCATTCTTTCGGACCTTTTTCCTCTGCTCATCAGCGCCTCTCAAATGGAAGTACAGCAGGTCCTCAAATAACATGGTTTTGTTCAACATGCTTTGTTATAATGTTAAAGAGGGGGAAAAAATGATTCTTAGTCAGGGCCACTGTGTATGTGGAGTTTGCACATAACACAAAACCCTATCTTTTAGTGGGTTTTCTTCAGGTACTCTGGTTTCTGCCGCGTCCCAAAGATGTTCGCATGAGGTGTACAGGCATGTCTGCATTGTCCCAGTCTCGGTGTGTGTGAGTGTGAGCGTGCCCTGCAACAGAAGGGCCCACTGTCCCTGTTCAGGCTGGGGTTCTGCCTTGTACCCTGAGCTGCTGGGACAGGCTCGGACCACCCATGACCCCGAACTGGAATAAGCAGGTTGGAAAACAATCATCTTACTTTTGTATTAATCTTATGGATAACTCACACTTATTTCAATGTTCAGTATTAAAAGTGCTTTGGGTCTTTATTTAGGTGTTTGGTGATATTTTTGTTACCAGAAATATTCCTTAGGATCTTAATTCTTGTTTGTATCAATTAGCCTATGGAAAAATTGGTTTCATTAAAAGTCATTTTGCTTAAAGTGGCAGTTTCCAAGAACTATGGTTGATATTAAATGAGAACTCACTGTACTCCTAAGGGAAGACATTTGATCAAGATGCTGGTATTAGTCTAATTGAAGGCAAGCTTCAACTAGATTGCTTGAAAGATTGATCAACTGATAGTCAGACACATTTTTGTTTAATCATATTATCCACCCTCTTGGGGAACAAGGAATATTTCTAGTTAGTCAAGTATTCTAGTTAATAAACGGTTGACACAAGGGGGTTATCATCTTACAGGAAATCAAGTTGTGGTGATATGCACTTGAACATTGAAACAGTGATCATCACCTTTGATGATAAAGTCCTTTGAGCATCCTTTAGTGTCACAAATCTACCGTAGTGGCTTTTCAATATCATTTATCATTGTACCCTGGGACATGATGGTGTTGGTAGAGATATCTCTCTGGTAAATTTCCAGCTTTTATCAAATGGAGAGAGTGTGTGCTTATAGTCAGCCTTGCTCCAGGAAGGGTTTAAGCTGGTAACAGGTATAATGAGTATTTTGCCAGCTTGCAGACTTCACTGTTGTTCCTTCCAGGAAGATCTCCAACACTTGGCTCAGCACTGGCTGGTTCACAATGACGATTGCGCTGGAGCTGTGTGACAGGATCAATGTTTATGGCATGGTGCCCCCAGACTTCTGCAGGTAGGGTTTATTCTGCAAGTGTAATTCATCGGCAGTGTTGTGCAGGGTTTATAAATATCTGGTTCCAAATATCAACAACAAAGCATGTCTGTCGTCTTGAAGCAATTAATTAACATGTCCCAAGTTCTGGTTCTAGAAATAACAAACAGCATTTAATTATGTGATATAAAATATTGAAAGTTTTTGTTTGTACTGCTGGAGAATTAATCCATCTTGTGGGCTTCATTTATCCTCTGAATATCCATCAACCAAAAGTAATGCAATAATTGGCATAATATTCAAGATGAACAAGCATTAAGAAATATTTGTTTTATTCTCATTTGAAAGAAATGTGGTAATTTTCAATGAATTCAAGAGGAGAGCTTTTTTATGGTAATGCCTGTTTTCTAAAATTAAAATATTCCTTTGAGCCTCTTCCCCTCACCGCCAAGTAGCCTTGGTTTGTGCTTCTAAGGCCAAAGCACAGGCATAATTATTTTGATGTATCACTTTAAAGGGAACATACACACATGTCTGTTGCTACCTTGAGTTACCTCCTGGCATGTGCCCAAGCAACGTATGGTGTCTTAACACATGCACTTATTTGCAAGAGCTCAATTCAAAACTCATCTGTAATGTAAACTTGTGATGCCTATAAATTCAGAAAGTGCCCTGGTGCTCAAGAATGCCTGATGTTGGCCCATTGTCTCTGTCCTAATCTTCAAATGGTAAAATCTGGGGTGAGGGGTGATTTAAAATTGTTCAGTAAGATTTATCTTGCTTCATGTGTGTTAAACCTAACACTTTCTCAAAGGCCATGAGCTTTTATGCAAAATCCACAATTTGGAGATTTGACACAAGGATGAGAAAGGTATTTAATCATGTTGTTTCCCATTGGCCACTTTTCTCCCACTCTTTTTTACCCAGAAACCCAACAGCAGCAGTAGTAGTTTGAGTAAGAGTAGGTCACAGGAAAGAAGGAAACGTGTGGACAGAGCAGGCCTTTATTATGTGTCTGGACTCACTCGTGCACCAGAGGGACATAATATAGTAAGGCGGCATATAGAGTCTGGAGCCAGACTGCACAGGTTCCAAGCCCAGCCTGGCCATTTACTAACCTAGCATGACCTTGAGCACATTATTCAGTCTCTCAGTGTCTCAGCTTCCTCATCATTTCAAGTGGAGGTGAGAATAATAACAGACTCTACCTCATAGGGCTGTAGGTGGATTAAACAAGTTAATACATGTAAAGGGCTTGGAACAGGGCCTAGTACATGGCAAGAGTTAGCTTCCATTCTCACCCAGTTCTTCATCACCTAGTTCACTGACCTCATTTCCCTGTTTAACAATCTGTGTGCAAAAAATAGGTAGTATGGTATAAGAAAGCAAACTGTCTCCTTAAATCAACAGGCTAACAAAGACAGCAGGAATGGCACTTAGGAGCATGCAAAGGGCTGTCAAAGTTGATGGTTATATGGCAGATATAATTATGTAATATTGCCATTAGGATGCCAGGGAGAAAGTGCATGAATAAATTGAAATGCTAATGACTAAGGAAATATTCCATTTATTATGGAAAACAAATGAAAGGCAAGTTAACCTGTCATTTCTCTTACTCAGAGTTAGTTCATCAAGACTTGTACATAGACGGAAGCAATTTATGGAATGACACTAACAAGGAGGTCAAGATCCTGCCAATGCACCATATGTTGTCACCAGCGCTGGGTTTCCGTTCCTCAGCCACCATCCCAAAGGTCTGATAGTTGTTCTCACAAGATGCTTTCAGCAATAACTCTTCAAAAGGATCCCTCTACCCAGCGTCCTGTCAGAGAAAGTGGAAAATTGTGCGAGGTGTCTTCTGGAGGAGAGGGTCTGGCTGCAGAGAGCATCCTTCTCAGTTGTAATGCTTGTTTATGAAGAGTGAGAAGGACCAGGGGCAGCACAGACTGATGCTCTAGTTTCTTTCATCTTCATTCCAAAACATATTGGTTGAATCACCAGGCACCCAATTCCTAACTGGGTGACCTTGAGCCTTGCTTTCCTCCTCTGCAAATGGTGATAGGAAAATAATAACAAGCAGGTCATGGTGAGGATTAAATGAAGTCATGAAATTAGAGCATCTGATATAGTGCCCAATATACAATTAGTGCTCAGGGAAGATTGTTATTATTACTAATACATAATATTATGCCATAGATGTATGAAATTATTATTACTATTATTATCCTCAGTACTTGAGATTTACCCTGAAAGGTATAGAGAACTTGGGGAGGTTCAAAGAACAGGACACAGCCTTTGTGTAGTAGAGGCTCACAATAAGCCTTACCCGTACCAGGGAACACTTCCAAACACTAAGGAACCCAGCAATGCCTCTTGGAGTCAAATGACCCTTTCAAACAGATCTGCAACCAAAGAATGAAAAGCAATATGTAAGTCAATTCCTCTACTAGTCCAACCATTTCCACCCCAATTTTTATTTACTTATTTATTTTGCCTGCTTCTCCCAGTTGCTCAGTCCAACTGTGCTCCAGCAACAGAGGAGAGGGCAGCGATGCCCAAGACCCAAGTGCTGGGAGCCATGTTTTATCTATGAAAGTGGCTATGTGTCATGCAGGGTACATGTGTCATGAGCTCTAGGACTTCAGGAGGTAAGATATCAACAGGCCAAAAGTGGTAAGGGGAGGTTTGGGGAGAACAAAGCCTTTGGAAGAGCTCAAGAGCAAGTCAAGTTCACCAGAATGTAAACTGACCATGGGCAGAAATTTTGTGTGTTTTGTTCACTGCTGAAGCCCTACTGCAAGGACTTAATTGTTTATCATCCAGGCCTATAGCCAATGCTTCAAACATTAAATGAATCAATGGTCCTGTCCTCTACGCTCCCTTTAATGCTGTAGTAAGAGGGTGCTGATGTGGGTGAAAATAACCACTTCTTCCCCTCAGAAGCTGTTGACCATGAGAAAGTTTATTTGACCTCACTGAGTCTTAGTGACTTTGGGCAAGTTATGTAATGACTGTCTCAGAAGCCTGAGCTGCCATATCTGTAAGATGGTGATGACAACAGTGCTTACCTCAGGGGTTTATATCATAGTTCCAGGAGGTAACAGGTGGGGAGTGCGTGGCACAGCCCTGCCATACAGTAAGCATGCATAAATTTACCAGGTGAAGGGACTCACTAATCTGCAAGAGTGGATAACCCTTAGCATATTTTAAGAAGATGTCCAAGAGCACTAATGAATGATGTGGAGCTGGTTGCTGGAAAGAGAAGGGCGTGCATGGCTTCCCATATGAGCTAGGTTCCATGTCTCCTCACTCTTGAGAATAGACCTCATGTGGCCTCTGGCTGCTCCCAGGATATCATAGGCTGTTCACCATGTATCTACCCATTCAGTTGTTTCCTTCAAGTGCCCAGTTTCTAATGGGAATGAAGAATTAGCCACATGGGGCCAGATTTCAGAAAGCAAAAAGAGAGCCAACTGTTTATTTTTGGTAAATTAACCTTTTTTGGAACTTACGGCACAATTAGTACCCTCAGGGAAAGTCATTTACTAAATTAATCAGAGAGACAAACAGACTTTCATTTATTCAACCAACTCGTACTAGGCACTGGGGACGTAATCACAGATGAATGACTGAGGGTCTTTGCCTTCAGTCACCTGAGTGCCATCTGACTCTGTTACTGAAACCCCTCCATCGTCCTCTGAAGCTTTCAGAACAGAGTTCACACTCCCTAGCTTAGACACAAGTCCTCCAGGACCTGGCCTCTGTATCCACTTTAATCTCATCTTCTCTGCTTACACAGACTTATGTTAGCCAAACTGAAAAACTTATAAAGGAGCTCGCCCCTCTGGTACCAGTCCCTTTGCCCTTCGCTTGGAATGCCCTTCCCTTCCTTCTTAATCTGATGATTACTACTGGCTCTTCGATAAGAATATTAGTGGCTGATATTTTTTTCCTGCACATACCACGTGCCAGCCCCACACTTAATATAAATACCTGTGCCATTTCACTGAACTTTTATAATAATCCCATGAGGTAAACATTATTGTTATCATCATTTTATACAGGAAGCTTAAAGACATGAAACAGCTGGCCATGCCTGGAGAGCAGATAGTTAGCAGAGCTAGGATTTCAATCCAGGTCTGCAGGATTCAAGAGCCAAAGCTCCTCACTTCACTGTTTCAGATGCAACAAGCCCTCCTCCTCTTTTCTGTGCTCCTGTCTGAGTCCACCTGTCCCCTCACAGGACCTTCTGCCCGCTTCATTGGTTCATTTTTTATCTCCTTCATTTGCCTGTAGGCTCCTTAAGAGGAAGCATTTCCACACTTGTATCTTTAGCACTTGTCTTGTGCCTTGCACATGCTATGTATTTAGAATGGATTGGCTTAATAAATAAATTTTAAAACCTTCCTTTCCTTGTTTCCTTGGTGATGTTTAAGAGACCGATTCTGAACTTATCTCAAGACCCAAAGTGTCAGGTGAATAAAAAGTATAATCAGGAATGGCAAATTCAGAGTTTGAGGGTCCTTGGAAGTCATGGGCAGCCACCTGTTTCATTCCCAAGCGGGGCCAGCATTGGTCCTCCAAGAGGGGCTCGGGTATCAGGCATCGATCTCCATCTGCCTCCATCACCAGACTCCGAGCTCATCAGTGTTCAGAAAGCGGGAGAAAATTAATCCCATGCTGCATCTTAGACAGCATCAAAATATATTATTGTGTGGATGGTAGACCTTTAAATCATGCCATGTCCATAGAGGAAGCCAAATCCAGTCTCTAGGTGGACTATAAATTGCAGCGAAAAGATCTGTTATCCTTGCTTTCCAAACTAAGTTATGTTAAGTATTTTTAATCTCATTTTCCATTGTAAATTATTGGCAATAATAATGGGGTAAGCATTTAAATTCTATCTAATAATCTTATTTCTGGTCATACTTAACACATTACCAAGTTTACAACTCTCAGTTATCCATTATTTCTTCAGTATTAATTAGAGGAGTAATGACTCAGAGAGATCACTGTCGTGG